GTGGTGCTGGCTCCTACCCTGGGGCTCTTGAAGAGGAGGCTTGATGCCTACTTAGCTGGGATCATTTAAGCCCAGGTTTGTTTTGGTTTTTTTGTTTGTTTGTTTGTTTTTTCTTTTCTTTTTTCTCCTGCCCTGGCAGGGGGTTGGACTTGAAGATCTATAAGGTCCCTTCTGACCCTACTTCTGTGATTCTATGATTCTATGATAAGATCTATCAAAGCAAAAACAGGTGGTAGGAAAGACGCCAGTCCAGATTCTTGGCCTAGCCCCACATAACTAGGTGCATCAAACTGGCTGAGAACAATTATGAAGTATGACATGGCAGGCTTGGTTGTATTCTACACTTGGTGCAAAAAGTCTGGACTATACCATCACTCAGACAAAGAGGGGGAGAATAAGAATAATTGTTTTTCATGAAATATATGTTAAAAGACCACTATTGAGGGTTGTAAGAAAGGAGGAAGGAGAACACATGAAAAATATAAGCACATCTCAGTGCATCTGAATCTCATGATTGGGGCATCACAATTGCACTGCATAAATTGGAACTGGATCTATTATAAGAAAATGGATCCTCCAGAAAACAACATTGATAGCTACACCTCTAAAATTCTGAGGAAAATGACAACATTTAAACTCAGTGATCCTTTCATCTAGTTAGACACATATTAATAGTTTTATTTCTGCCAGAGATCCCAGATTATAAAAAGAAAAAATTAATGTTTAAAGCAATGTATCCCCTTACTTTGTGTTCAAAGGAACTATGCAAGTGTCACTGAATTCATCGCCATCTGTTACACTAACAAAAAATATCATATGTATTAACGGTTACCTGGTTTATCTCCTGTTAGAACCCAGATCTTAATGTTGGCAAGTGATAAACTAGCAATGGTTTCTGTAACTCCCTCTTGCAATTTGTCTTCTATAGCAGTGGCACCTAGTAACTAGTAAGGAAGCAGAACATTTAAGAGACATTAGACAAACTCTGAAAATCATTACAATATTTTAAGCAATCAAGAAATCTGAAGAATATAAACAAAATAGTTTTAGACAGGTAAATACATGGAACATAAGGTACAGACAGAAGTGCAGCTAAAGCGCCATGAGTTAGACCTATCCTCCCAGCTCAGCAGATATCAGCTGTTGGGTCAGGAGGGTGGAGGATTGAGCTCCAATTTGGAGCTGATCTAAGGAGAGAGGCTGCATGTCTGCAGCCTCTTCCCATAGCTCTGTCCCCACTCTGAGCTCCCATGCTGACTCAGGATGGGGGACAGGTGGGGGAAGAAGGCAGGGGAGGGATGTCCATTCTGGGCATTCCCCAGCAACAGTAGAGTAAGGTGTGGGGGGGCTCCAATCCACCCACCTTCTACCACCAGGCAACCACCAGAATGAGCTCCCTCCACTCTCTTCCTTACCCCCCATTCTGAAAACAGCATCAGGAGCAGTGCTGGGCTGTGTCAGCTAAGCCCTGCTCCCAGCAAGTGCAGACAGAAGTTACTGAGGGCGGTTCACTTCAGAGTGCTTTCATCTGAACCCTCATGTAATAAGGGTTCAGATTTTCCTGGGACTGGGCCCTTTTAAAATTATCTGCAGCCATGCACTTGTATTTGGTCATGGCTGTAGAGTGCTTTCAGGGGCCAGATCAGGCAAAAATTGTCACTTCTGTATACACCTATAAAGTCAAGTGAAACTTTATTATAATGCACTACGCTCAATCTCACAATTTTATAGAGAACAAATTAAAAACTGCCTACCTCTGAAGTAGTGGTACTCAACCTTTTTGCCCCATTACCTGGATGAGCAGTGCCCAGTCTGTCTGAGGGCCAGATCCAGCTGGTGAGTCCAATCTGGCTACATGGATCAAGGGGGCATAGCTTGGCCCCAATCCAGTCCCTAGGGGGAAAGGGGGGAGAAGGGGGCATGGCCACCTCCAATCCAGGGGCATTGAGGCATGGTTTGGCCCCGACCCAGCAGTGCATGGCTTGAAATTTGGCAGTGGGGGAGGGGTGGCATTCCACCGCTCCCCTGTTGCCAAATTTTCTGACCTTTGAGGAGCTTAGGGGGCTGGATGCCACGGCTCTGCAGGCTGGATTTGGCATACGGGCTATGGGTTGAGCACCTCTGCTCTAAAGCAAACTACAGTGCAATTTTTATCAGAACCATACAATATATAATTTCAGAGCAGGTCTGGTTGCTCGAAGTGGGAGGGAGGAAGCCCCTTCAAATCCTTGTCTTGCCAAGCTAGCTGGCATCATCAGATTTATCATAATTATCTTCTAGCTGGAAGCTTGGTTGCCTCTGTTTTCTTAATACAGCTATATGTAACCATTCAAATCTCACCAAAAGACAGTTAGCAGTGGTGCCAAACTACAGGCCAATCAAGTGACATGAGACTGGTTGTGGGGGCTGAGCCATAGGCTGGGTCTAATACATAGAGAGCCATGTCATCTGGTCAAAGGGGCTTGAATTTGGCACTGGCAACAATAACTGCTGCAGCTCCAGGAGCCACTGCTCCTTCCACCACCAAACTTTCTACAGTTTCTGGGGTCTAGAGTCCTGCACTCTAGATCCAGCCCATTGGGCTTTCTACTGGTCCAGAAATGTGGCAGGAGGACAAGCAGCAACAGCATTAATGGCTCCAAGCAATTCATGCTAGCACCACTCAACATAACACCAAATTTCTAGACCTGTGGGAGCCCTGTGGGCCAGATGACAAAACTCCTTGGGTTGTATCTTGGTCACTCCAGCTATAGAGCAATGCAGAAGAGGAGAAAGGAGTTAAATTTGTGCTATCAGATTGGATACAACATGTGCTTCAACTTTAATATAGGATAGAGACTGGCAGGGTACAGCATCACAACAAAGCCAGGGTGCAACATTTCAAGGGAATTTCAAGTCACTTGTGGGCCCAGAAGACTGAAACAAATGTGGCCCTTATACATGTGTTCAACTCATCCTTGGTTATAGGTGGTACATATGTAGATCTGAGGGGATCTGGCCCGTAGAGAGGTAGAAATAAATAAAAATTATTTTTATTTAAAGTGAGTCAGTTACATAGAGCAAGTCTCTCACAGTTGCTTCCAACATCTTAAAATCAATCATGACTACAGGGAAGCACATAACAGGCCTACAACAACCTTGTTTATAGCAAAGTACTGAAAGAGAACATAAAAAAATCCCTCTGTAACATAGTATGTCTTCCTAGTACGTCTTGCAAATGCCAAGTCTCTAAGAACATACCATCATGTCTCTTTCAATCTCTTCATATGCTGTAGCAAGCTGTTCATCCCTGCTATCTACTGAAGTCTTTGCCTCCTGAAGAATTTTAAACCATTCTTTAAAGTGCTCTTCAGTCAAGTTTTTGTATGCAAGGACTAACGTCCGAAGGCCTTCTCCTGCAAACTCCTAACAAATGAGGATAAAAGATAGACAGTATGTATGTGAACAAAGTCATATCTACATTTCAGGCACTTCTCTCTCTTCTTCCCTCTCTCTAATTAACCCTGTTAATCTGATGCTAGGCAGAAGGAAGGACAGGGTGGCACCTTAAAGACTGTGGGCATTTTTACACATGTTGTAGGACATGGCACCAGGTACCTTAATTAGTGAACTGTGCTAATTTGAAGTGCCCACACATCCCCATGCTGAAAAAATGGCAGTGGGGCACTTAGAACTAAAGCTCATTGAACATGTTTTATGTCAAAGCTTACTGCTGCCATTTTTTCAGCATGGAGATGCATGGCTACACTGATGCATGTGATGTGGAAGGCTGACTCAAATGCAGAATGAGCATTTTCTCAAATGAGCAATTTCTGTGCTCCAGCAGACATGAATTGAGTCTTCTGCTCTGATGTGCTGACTTTCCAGTGCACTAGAGCAGGCTCCGCACACGGGTATAGGAACCTTGTGATTTGCAGAAAGCAGGGTTCTAAATAGGAAACAATAAAGTAATTTAAAAGGAAAGGGTAGGGAAAGGGGGAGAAAAGAGTAGAGTAATGGGGGCACTGTTAAGAGGGGCAGAGGTGGGTTGAACGGTCAAAAAGGAAAAACAAACAGTTAACCCATGCAGGGACAAAAGTTATAAAATTATTCCAGGTAATGAGTTTAAAGCACGTACATCCCTCTGTGGGTTAACTGCTTTGCAAAGTCCTTTAAACAACTCCTCAAATATAAGAACTGTTGTATATATGATATTATTCAAAGTTTACTCATTTGTAAAGATTTCACCATCTCCCAGACAAATGTATTATCCAAAATATATTCACTCCTTGATTGCTTAGAGTCTAAAGTACTAATTTTTTAAGGTCAAACACAAAGATCATGGGCATTTGTAAGACATAAATCATTTCAGGAAATGTCTTTGACCTTGCAACACAAACCAAAGAAAACAGAAAATACTCTAACAAGGATATTTTTATTTTAAATGAATACAGGAAAAACTACTAGAAAACTATTACACAATTAATACAATGTAGAGGTGGTTAATCTTGTTAGTCTGAAGTCAAGCAGAATGGTACCTTAAAAACTAGCTGGCTCAGAAATACATGCGCTCTTGTAAGTAACAGTCTACTTTTTCAGATCAAGGGGAACATTACAATTTAAGGAAAAAATAGCAAAGGCTTGCAAATGAATTAACATAACAGAAAAGGAAAAAGAGTTTGTTTGTTTACAGGAAAGTCCATTCTGCATGTACAGAGATTTTTACACATGCACACATTCATGTTCCTTTAATTTCACTGGGTAAGTATGGAAACCCAAGGTTTTAACATTGAGTAATTGCAAAGATCAGATAGTTATGATTCCAGCCTTGCTTTCATAAAAAACATGTTGGCCTTCTGGAAAAGATTAAAAGAAAGCCAAGAAAGCTCTATTATAGAGATGAAAACAATAGTTATGTTTGTAACCAATATTACTAAACCATCATACTGTATACTTAATGTCAAAGGAGTATTTTTTTAAAAGAATCATGGAATGGTTTGTATTAAATGTGGATACTTAAAAAGAACATGAATTCTAAAAAAATAAATGAAGGAAATGAGAGCTTTATCCAGTTTCCCTTAAAGTTCACATTAGGTTAGACCCTCAAACCAAACAAAAAAAAAAAAATGCATATTTTATTTAAGACCAGGTTACCAAACTGGATAATCTCTATGATTTTTCACATGGGATTCCAAGGCTCTAAATACCCTATAAACACTGCAAGTACTTCAGCTGTTTTGGGTGTTAAAAGCATCATGTCATTTACCTGGACTTGTCTCTCTGACTGGCCCCAAAGGGAGTGTCCAGATGAGCATGCATGTGCCTCTTGCACCAAGAGACACTGCAAGAGGCAGGCTGAGACTGAAAAAATATTCCTCGTGCTACATATTTGCAGCACAGGCTCATAATTTGATACCTGGATTTCCAGGTATCAAATAAAAACACCACAGAGAAAAGCAGCACAGGGCACAATTCCCCACCATGTCCTGAGGCAAGCCAGGGCTCCGACCTCCAGAGACGCTCTGGCATCTGGCCAGAGCGCCTCTGTGGTGCCCCCTGCTGCCCTAGCACACTGCGTTTGTGGGCTGGGGAAAGCACGAGCGGTGGAAGGCTGTGACCTGGCCGCTGTTCCTGGTAAGTAGGGACTGGGGGATAGGGAGGATTGTGGGGTGGGGGGAATGTGCATGTCTGGGGGTTGTATGGGAGGGCTGGTTGGGGGCATGGGTCCCTCACAGGGCCCCAGCCCCACAGCCACTGCTGCTGCAGGGGTGAGCTGCAGGGGGGCTGTGGGCCCTGTGGGGGGGTTAGGGGGGCTGGGACACTGCAGGAAGTGCATGAAGGCCATGGGGGACATGTGGGCCTTGTGGGGGCACACATGTGCCGTGCAGGGGGGTAAGTCCATGTGCTGTGTGCGGAGGCTGCATCCTGGGGGGGGGGAGACAGGGGACCTACCCCTCCTAAGCAGCCCCACCCACACAGCTCCCCCCACATCCTAAAGTCACCCCCACAAACTGCTCACCCACAAACCCAGCCACAAACCCAAAAACCTCGCACAAGCCCCATACCCCTCAAACCTCACCCCCACAAATCCTATACCCATGCACAAACTCCCCTATCCCTCCTCCAAATTGCTTTACACTTGTAAATAAACATTGCCCAACATTGCCCAAATATATCAATAAAACATTGTCCTCTCTATATATATTGGCATTTCATTTTAATAGTGGAAGAACACTATCTTGGGTATTTTAATGAGAGAATTTGGGTTTCTTATCAGAGAATTCACAAATCATAAACAAGGATCACCAAGATCACTGCTGGTGAGACAAGTGGTGAGACCCGTGCAAAAGAGCCTGTCCAGGGCCAGCACTGGGGACCCAGCTGGAGGGCAGATGAGGTGACTGACCTCTTGACCATTTGGGGCCAAGAGGACATGGTTTCACAGTTCAAAGCAGGCCACCACAAGGAGCACATCTTCTAGGCAACAGCTGCCCAGATGGCAGAGTGGGGGCACCCCATCCAGGTCTGGCAGGGGCACAGGCTTGAGGCTGCATGTCCAAGGGCCAGATGCTGTCACAGGTGGCAGCAGGTCACAGCCAGGCAGAAGCCCCTACTGTCAGATTGCTGCAGTGGGTAGAGGGTGCAAGGGCCACTCTAGGTTAGGGCTGCTTCAGCAGTCCAACTGGCACAAGGCGTAGTGTGCTCAGATACCAAGTGGCTGGGCCTCAGAAGCTCCTGAGGGCAAGTAGACCCGAGCCGCTCACCTGGGAAGCTTTTTAGATTGCTGGGTCCAGCACAGGGCAGGTTTTTATACTGCTGAAGCCAGCACAGATGCTGGCCTCAGCCTCTAGCTCCCCCTGGCTGCAGATCCAGGAGGAGTTGGGCAGCGTTATTTTGCCACAAGTGGCACTACTTGCCCCACACCAAAGTGCATGTCCGGGCACACATGCACCCGAGGCAAAAATCCCCAGCTCAAATTTGTGCCACTTCCACTTGAGCGGCTGCAAGTGTACATGTCTGCATGTATGGACCAAAGGGGCCAAAGTTTCTAAAACTTTGGATCTTTTTAGGATATAAAGCCTACAATGCCCTGATTCAGGAAACTGTCACCATTAAGGAATTTTTGTGGGCGATATATTTTATTGCACCAGCTGCCTGGCTGGGATAGACTTAGATACGCTTTCAGGTACCACAGTACTGTAACCTTCCTTGGGTCTCTAGGAGAGAAGCAGACATTGCAGAGCTAAATTGCAGATGGAACAATGGCTTATGTAACAGCACTTAAACACACTTTTATCTGTAAGTGTAAAATTCAAGCTTAATGTTAAGCATCTGTTTTAAGTACTTTTCTGGATCACTGTCTAAATAAAAAGCGCTTACCCCAAGATGGTCTGATGTCAAAGATGCTAATTCTTCACTGGAGGAATGAAGCCTCTCAAATAACATAGTGTCTGCTCCTTTACAATAAAGTTTTATCTGTCCATATGGATTTCGAACTGAAAAAGGAAAGAGAACTAGAAATTTAGAATATAAACATTACATTTCTCCTTCCCCTCCTCCAAGTGTTTATTTGATCTTCCAAGTACAGGTTGATGTTTTTGGACATACCAATATAAAAATAGTAGTCAGCGCACAGAAACAGCCTAATTACTTGGGCTGGTGTTAAACACACCATGTATATCTCAAAAACAAAAAGAATACATCTTGATAAAAATTGTGTCAAGCTAAAGGAAACCTCAAATGTGAACTCCTAAATTTCAGAAGGATGGGACAGATTACAAACCCCTCTAAAATCTCTGTTTTAGTTTTGCTTGCAAATCATATTTTCTTGTTCTGTATCAGCTACACCCAAGAGTCTCATAAAAGCAGCAAGTTTTGCAAGAGTCCCAACATTTGGGGTTGAAATGTCATAATAAAAGTTTGAAAAATGTTGACACCATCTAATTTGAACCTAACTTTTAGCTCTATTTTAAATCTAATTAAATCTCAAAGACAAAATGTGAACTTTAGCCTATTTCTAAATTGGCTCTAAACCAAACATTCTCAATACATCTTTAGTTATTATTCTCCATAAAAATCTTCCTTAATTTATTTCTCAGACACTGCACTTTTCTAATAGCACAGATAGGATCACTGTTTTTGCATCATCTTGTGTCGCTTCTATTACAATTAGGTACTATAACACAAATGTGACTTTAGAGCAAAGATCCTTGAAAAAAGCAAGATATCAAAAAATAGTGGAAGGAGTACTCAGGAAGTGAGCACTGTGCAGTCTCAGGTAATCAAAACTTCTAAAATATATTTTGTGACTGCTATACATATAGTGTACATAACATACCATTCTCTATAGGGGATAAATAAAATGGAAATACACTTTAATAAGACATCTTAGTTCACAACTTATATATTATTTTTCAGTAAAAAGTTCAAATTCTTCTACCTTACCTATAGCTCAATTCCCAAGAAGCAGCTTCTTTTAATGGAAACTGGGAGGGCTCAAAAGAGGGTCTGGTTAATTGTTAGTGACGGCCTTTATTCTACTTCATAAAATAACTTAATTACCACCACTATGTACCTGATGTGGTTTTACAAGGCATCCTGAGCCATTCAAGAAAACTTATTTTATAAATGGATGGGGCAGTCAGACTTTTATACAAAGTGAAAATTCTGTACAGAACTTGCTTATTGTTATCATCAGCAACATTTAAGCTGATAATCAGTAAAAAAAAAAAAAACTCTGCTTGACTACAGAGAATTATATCTTAGACAAGGTTAATATGGGGCAAGTTTCCCATTTAATCATATGTAAAAGTGGTTCACATCAGTTAATAGTTGCAGTATGCCCCACAATACTTTGGGTATGTCTACATTGCAACTGGATGCTTCCATGTGTTGCAGTCACATATGTGAACTAGCTTTAATTCAGCTAGCTCAGGTGCCAACAGCAGTAGACATACACTGGCATTGATTTTAACACTGATTAGCCACCTAATTAGTAGGCCTGAGCAAAGCAACTAGTAGTTGCTTTGGATTCGACCAATTCAGGGGGCAGTGATTCAATTCAGTGATCCAAATCACTGTCCCAAATCAATCTGGCTGAACCTAATTCGGAGATTCGGTCACTACCAAATCAGCTGAATCTCTGAATCAGCCCCATCCCAGCCCCATCAGTGGCTGCCCCGCCTGGCCACAGCTCTTTGAAAAAAAATCACGGCACTCATAGGCTGCTGCCAGGTGCGGGAGCGACCCCCACTACCCCCCACTGCCCCACGCTGCATGGGAGGCTCTGTTATGAGCCCCCATCCTCCGCCCACTCTCCCAGCCCCAGCTCCCAGCTCTTTAAAAAGAAAAGGACCCAATCACCAGCTGCTGCCAGGTAGGGGGGGCAGTTCCCATTGTCCCATGCCACATGGGGGGCTCTGCCATGAGCCTTCTGACCCCTGCCCACTTTCCCAGTCCCCTCCCCCCTAGGGCGGCCCCACACAGCCCCAGCTCCCAGCCCTTAAAAAAAAAAAAAAAA